GCATTCCTAAGAAAGATAAAACCAAACTTATATTATGAATATCATAATGAGCAAAGATTACATTTAAAAAATTGCACCTATCTAATTGAGTTTAACTGTTAAAAACTTTTCAATTAAATATTTAATATGTGTTTAAAAATTTGTTTTCTATTAACATTAAATATGTAATATTATTTAGTTCAATTACTTTGTTTACTGTTATTAATTAAATTTATATGCAATATAAGTTTCATATATAAACTACATTCTTTCCGTAAGTTATTTTTAGAAATTTTAAGTTGCTTAATATGAAAGAATTTTTACTAACACTATGGATTCAAGGCTCTGGTTAACTGATAATACTACTACAATCTAGCTTGCAGCTATTAGACTAGTAGACTAGAGATGACAATATTAAAAAAACAAATTGTAATAAAAAAAAAAATACATATGTAATGTCTTTTAATGCAATGACAATATGTTTATAATACTAATTAAAATATCTAAGTATTTTACTAGTTCTTATATAATATTCCAATCTCAGTCAAACACGTGAAACTTACCTTTTTAAAATGATTCAATGTATCAACACTGTTTTCACACATTTCTGTAATGAGAGTAACACCTGTAATTAATACACCATGGTTCTTTTCTGTAATTAAACTGCGAGTAGCAGGTAGAAACATTTCCATCAATTCTGGTACACGTCTAATAATTCTAAATGCACAAAGAGCTGCTTTTTTCCGGATATAAGCATTTGCTGACTTCATTAGCCTTTCAACTTCAGATGCCAAATCTCTTGCCATTTCTGGTGATGCAATTGCACCCAAAGTACATAATGCCAAACCAATAACAAATTGTGTAGTGCTATTTAAATCACTATAAGAAAAAATACTTAAAGTTTTAAAATACTTATACGAATCTAAATAACTATTAAAATAATTTTATAGGGACATTACTTTTTTAAACAGTTTGTAATTAAAAGATGAACATCTTGTCGTTCATCTAACAATAACATTGCACCTAAGTAACCTATTCGTTTGTCTGTGAACCTTGGAGAAGCAATAAGTTTTAGACATTCTAATTGGCCAAAGTGAGCTGGATATCTATAAAATTATTTAAGATTTTATATCTGATAAAAATGAGAATATTAAATGTATGTCTTAAAGATAATAGTATAAATAAAATATAAAAAAATTTGATACAAACCCAAGCATATGAATATATAAAAGTTTTGCAATATTGCGACATCTCCAAACACTATCTTCTTCTCTGAATGTTGAACGAATATAAGCACATTCCTTATTAACAACTGTTCTTTCTTCTGCTGCAGTTCTAGCAGCTCTTATTTGTCTGATGAGATCCCTCAATCGTGTTGGTGCAGGCATTCTAACTGTTGAGACTTTTAAATTATATACACATTATCAAGTTTAGTGTTAGTAGAATTTAATGAATTAGATGCTCAAGCTATGAATTATGTTGACAATAAATTAGTTTTCATAAAAAATGTAAACGATAATAGAACAATATTTAAATTTACATATAAAATGTAATGAAAAAAAATTAGTATTATAATAATAATATTATAAAAGCAAAAATTATATTGAATTTCTTATTTTTCTTCACATTATTTTTTTAACTATTTCTATATTATTCTTATTTTATTTGTCTTATTACTTTAAGAGGTATAAGAAATATTCAAGTATTATTTATAATTTATTGAAAAATAAAATATTTATTATTAAAAATAATACATTTGAACTAGATGAATTGTGCCAATTATGAGCTATTTAATCAGTATTTGAACTATACATTATAATAATATGAAATTTCATAAATTTTTCTTCCAATGTTTTAAACATTTATTATTTAAAATTAATAGTAAATACTTAACGTACTAATTACTATAACAGCCAATAAAAATATTCATTACACATTTAATATATAAAAATTGCACTTACCTCTTTCTACTGCTTCATTAATTGCTTGTTTTATGGAGGCCATATTAAAGGCTGGGTTAAACCTGCAATGTACACACCCATGCTATTTACACACAGAAATCATTTACATACCATTTTGTTTGTTGTGCAATGACACCCACGATATAATCTTAAATGTTTTTCACTGTTTCAAATAAATATTTTCCAAATAATGTAAATTACTACTGAAATAATATTTCTCATTATTATAATAACAAATTACATCCCTAATTGTATAAGAACATCTTGACAAAAATTAGTATAACATTAAAAAAAATTACAACACATTGACATTAATTTGTATATAATGATTTCTTAATATTTTATTATTATATATCATTATTAATTGATACTGCTTATTAAAGGTATCTATACTGTTAGAAAATATATATTACCCATGTTCTGAAGCATTCATGGTACTCAATGATGTTTTCAAATGTATATGAAGAGCTTCGGTAATGTAAATGAAGTATAGGTGAGTACGGAACACACAAATTTCCTCCTATTGGGAAAAGGTCATGTAATATTGTCAGTAATTGTAAAATATTTTCAAAAATTTAAAAAACTAGAAATGTAAAATAAATAAGTTGATGTTCTCTATATTTTTTTTTTTTTAAGTTTTTAATAGATACAAATAATATCAATAAACACAAATTAAAATTGTTCTTAAATATCATTTAATATAAAGAATAAGCATATATTGTTAATTGTGTATAAATTATAATGTTCTACCTACTGTATATATACATAAATAAAAATAATTAGTAGTATTGTTTAAAAAGTATTATATTAATAAAAAAAAATAGTAAATGTATTTGTAATATAAGCTTAGTTTGTTAATAAATCTGTAAACATAATAAAAATTTCAGTGTTATAAAGTGTACAGTAAATACAAAATAACCGGTTTCGCTGACGAAATCTAAGTAGTCGATCAGAAGAATGCAATGCATGCAATGGATATTACCTAGTTTTTGAATGTCATTCGACCACAAATTCACGTGCTATAAAAACGCGTCGCGGTCGCACGTTCGTACAGCTCGACAGCATATTGTAAAACGTGTAAACCGGTTATATAAAAGATCGTTCGCACTGAAGGGCATCGAACCAAGGGTTAGTTTTCTAGCTGTCAAACAATACCAGTCAAGGACGTTGTTTTCAGCAAACTTGATTTCGAAAATCTAACGACGTATATGACATACGTATAAGACAGTACGAAGGAGCGTCAAATACTCGTTGTCGTATCGCCCACCTTTTACACGCAAGTCGTATGACAAATACGGCGAAATATGCCTCGCCTCCTAGGGCGCGAGTTGTGCGCCCTCACTCACTTTTGCATAGTTAATTCTATATTGGCCTGGATCGGTTTACATATACGTTGCATTCCGAGTAATTCCTTCCAACTTAACTTTTTACCATTAACAATACGTACCGTACAAAACTTTGATTCACAGTAAGGGGTTAATCAACTATGAAAAAAATTATGGACATAGTTAAACATTCACAGTTGCCTAGCCTATCACACGACAAACACTCTTCACAATGGTCCACGGTATTCATACAGCAAAAATCAAAATGGCTACCCATTTTCATTGACGTTGTTCCTAATAATAATGTATCTTTTCGGTTAAAGTTATCGTAACCATTTTCTACGTGGTACATGTTTCATAATTGAAACATTTGTGAACAGATATAACAATTATTCTTTTCTGAAATTGACGTCGTTTTAGTTGTTTGTAGTCTTAATTTCACGTCTCCTTTATACTTTTGCTCAACGTAGTGAATAACAATAATGTTGGTTTCTAAAGCGCGAAATTTGTACTATTTTATAAATCTGAATTTTAACTCATAAATCCATTTTTTTGCATTCCGATAAAATAATTGTTATTGTAATTTCAAATGATACGCATTTTTTTTACCAAAAATAGGGTGGATAAAAAATTTATGATGAAATATTAATACATAATCTGAGCGTCATTGCACAATTTGTATTAAGAATAATGAAATTGTAATATATATCTATATGTAGCATGCTTAATATAAAAATACTTTTGTCGATTGCTAGTAAATATCAATTAAAGTAAATTAAATAATTTGGTATATGATTACTGTAAAATAAATTGAAACAAGTAAATTTTTCAAATAGTGTAACAATCATAATTTTATGATATTTCTCAAAATATGATTTTTAATATTATATTCATATATTGTTAATAGTACAATAAGTGACACTGCATATTTGTCATAAATAAATATTTATTATAAATTGAAAAATATTAGATCAAATGTAATTATACATAATTCATATATGACATATGAAATGTATATATAGTTCGTGCGCGCGCGCGCGCGCGCGTGTGTGTGTGTGTGTATGTGGACATTACTTTGCTACAAAGAATTAGAAATAGTAAGATTATCACCTCCTGTTTAATTCTGGTGGTAAAACACTCCAATCTTCAGACTCATAATAAGGCCACATGGTATATTAAGAGTGAGTAAGTAGAAAATTTAACACAGAAATTACAATTCATATAATATTTTCTAGCATCAACTGAAGTACCAGTTTTATAGACTTTTTATCACCAACATAACAGAAGAGGAGGTAAAGTGTTGGAATTATCTCTTATCTTAGCTACCTTGATATCAGCAATACAGATCAATTATATTTCTAAATACAGAGTAATTGAAAAATTCATTAATTACACTATATTAAGTATAAAAATTTAATATTGTTTAATTATAATTAAATGTTTAACTAAGATATTAACTAGAAATAATTATTATACAATAAATATCTAATAGTTAATAATTAAACAAGCTACAAAATGAATTAAATAATAATAAATAAAATGTTAAAATAAATAATTTTTAAAAAGCAAGAACATTATCACTTTATTATCACAAATATAAATTGCTGAAGGTAAGTAATTCAATTAGTAAATGTTAAAAAAAGGAAGTTTATTAATAAAAATGTAGTTTCTAATAAATGTACACAATTTTTACATTAAAATACTGTTCTTACATTAATTTATATTATAAAATAAAACAGGAATGTATTGCTAAGATAGACAACTGTCATTCTGATTACGAGGAGGACGAACATCATTGTTTCTCTTGACACAATCCACAAGCCAATGAATTCCTTCATCTATGCCATCCCTTTTGTATTATATAAATAATTATACAGTGATTGTTTTAAATAATTTATAAGCTTCATAACATGTTTACTTCACCAACATAATAATAAAATATTGTTAAATAGTATTATTTGATCTGCATTGATTATTATTTATGACAAGGTTGTCTTTTTAAAATACTTTTCAATAAAACTAGATATATATAAAAGCTATTGACTACAAAAATTAAATAACTTTTAATTTTTATTCATATTATTACCTTTCAAAATTGATGCAGTAATACATTAACATCATCAATACAAGCATGTTTATATATTGTTACATCAAAATAAATTCTCTAATATAAATGTAGCACTAACTGAAATAAATTCTATAATAAAAATGTAACTATATTTGGAAGCAATATTTAAATTCTATTGATTATTATTGATTATGAAATTCAAACATAATTGCTATTTCAACTACAGTTTGAATAAATTGTTGATAAAAATATATAGTTTATAACTACACTGAAAACTGGTATGATATCATGTTATGAAGTTGCTCTTATTTATTTTATATAAATTTATTATATTTAACTTAAAATAATAATTCTTAGTTTTATAACAAAATATAAATAATTTCATAACATCACTGTAATTGATATCTTATTCGTTTATAAATTAATTATTTATGTTATTATACGAAAAAGACAGTTATACAAACTTATATAAAATTGTATAATTATAAATTCATAATTTATTTAACTTTAATAAAATAAAACAAAATCCAAAGAAATAAATCTTAATATTTACGTACCCATTTAATGCAGAGACAGGCATTACCATGCAATCTCTTCTACCTATTAGATGTGCATTTTGATTAAAAATTGGTTTTACTTCTCTAACACCCATACAATCAGGTACATCCTGTTTATTTGCAAGGACTAAAAGTGGTACACCTATTAAATGTTCTGATGATATAACTCTATCTGTAATTGAACACATATATATATTTTTAATAAAATATTCTACTTTGGCATACATAATATCTTTTTTTATACTTTACCAAAAGTTTCTTTAGATTCAGGTATTTTTTCACGATCCGATGAGTCTACTATGTAAATCACAGCATGTGATTCTGCATAATACTGCAAATACAATATGATTTGTACAATAATACATTCATATATTAAATTATAACTTACTTTATCCCACAGCGATCGAAGTTCTTCTTGTCCACCAAGATCCCAAAAGTTGAAACGAACACCAGCTATGTCAATTTTTCCAATATTTAAACCAACAGTTGTAGTAATTTTACTAGGATTCATACCTTTGTAATTTTTCGTAAATTTTGTTTTTGCCGCTTCCAAATAAGTCTATAATGTAAAAATCACTTAGAAAGAAATTAATATTTACTTAACCACATTTACGTAGTTTTTTAAATTCCTTACCGTTTTCCCTGCATTGTCGAGCCCTAATATCAGTATAAAGAATTCATCCTTTTGCACAAGATACTTGTACAATCCATGTAAAAGTGTGTACATTTCAACGTGTATCAACTATCAGAAAATTTATGTTTCATATTGTTTATATATCCTATTCAAAAAAATATAATCGTCCATGACAGATTTCATTTTATATATAGTATTTAAGTTTCTACAGGAATTGATAGAAAGCTATGATTAGAATAAAATGTAGTATATTGACTAAAATAATGTACAGTAAACATATGTTACAAACTACATAATATATATTTCTTACAAACAAAACTACTGTAAGAAAAATATTTAATTATTTAATGAAACAATTATAAAAAATAATTATTTTATACTAACTTTTTATTATGTTTTTATCAAAATATTTTTGTAATGATTCAATAAATATTTTATTTTTATTTTATTTTTTAATTGAAAATGAATATCTTATACTTAAGATATTATATTCTGTTACTATTTAAGAAATATAACCAATGATAGTACTTCTATAATTTTATTGGATGTAATGGATTACTACTTCATTGTTAAGGTTTCATACATTCTAACATTTAATTTAAGGTAAGCAGTGAAGTCTGCTGCGGCATGCAGGAAGTATGACGAATTTAAAATGGTTTTTAATTTTCGTATTTGAAATGTTTTTAATAACAGATATACATGGTTCGATAGGAGATAAATCACAATTTTACAATTTATGTCTTGAAATATGTCGTGATAGTAATTGTGTTAATGGTATGCATTTTTTAATAATATATATAGTAGAGTAACAGAAATTCGAAAAATTCAATATATAATTAATAAAACTATTATAAATTTGGTATTTTCCAGTTTTAAAATAAAGATACTAATACAGAATTTAATTCTATTATAATTTGTTACTTATAAATGCTATAAAAAAAATTTCTTATAATTATATGTAACTTTTACTTATAATAATATTTTTATTATTATCTTACCAATTTACAGACCAAAAGTTTAAAGTATTACCTTCCTTATCATTAAGGTTGTTACATTGGTCTTGTAAAGAAGATTGTAGTTATAGTTGTATATGGAAGACAGTTGATTATTTTACATTTCATGGCTTAAAAGTTCCTCAATTTCATGGAAAGGTAAGTAATATAAATTTAGTTTTATATTTATTAATGCAAGAAGTAATATAATTTGTAAATAAATGACCAGTAATTTATATTTCAGTGGCCATTTATTCGACTTTTTGGTTGTCAAGAACCTGCTTCCGTCATATTTTCTATATTAAATTTTTATGCTCATATTACTATGTACTGGAAATTTAAAAGAAAATGTGAATATACTTATCCTATGTTTTACATATGGACATATTTTAGTCTGGTATATACATTTGTTAATTATATAAATATGATTCTATTATTATATATATATTATAATTTTACTTTTGTGTAAATTTAAAAAGATTTAATTTTAGGTATGTATGCACTGTTGGTTTTGGTCATCTATTTTTCATGCTAGAGACACTGCATTCACAGAAGTAATGGATTATTCCTGTGCATTTATTATGGTTCTTACATTATTGTATTGTATGTTATTATTGTAATATATAATGTTATTAATATAATATATAATAATAATAATAAGATTTGAAAAATATTTTGCTTTTTACATTTTAGGATAACTTATAAAAGTACTAAGTTATTTACCGTGATTACATGTGGATACCTTAGTATTTTATATTCACATTTATCTTATTTGTGGTCTGGTTACATTAATTATGACTATAATATGAAATTTAATGTAGTTATAGGTAATTTATTAAAATATCTATACTTTTTTCATTGAAAAAGATCTTTTTTATTTAAATATAAAAATTATGTCTAATTATAATATTACAGGATTTTTAACATTTGTTATAACAATGATGTGGTGGCACTATAATCATAAAAAATTATCTTATATTTATTTGATTGGTTGGTTCAACATATTAATAGTCTTTGTTACTATATTAGAAGTAGCAGATTTTGCACCCATATTTTGGATATTTGATGCTCACTCTTTGTGGCATGCTAGTACAGTTCCTCTTACAATTTTGTTATATAGGTAAGAATAATTTAATTAGTATAATCTGAATATAAATACTACCTTTAATTTTCTAATTATATTTTAACATTAAATTTTCAGGTTCATGATGGCAGATTGTTCTTATTTGAATACATGTTATAGTAAACTAATATTAGATATTAATCATCATGTACATTAGTAGTATTAATAATTATATATTTAATGGCACTGAAATATTATTTCAGTGTTACTTTAATAAATAATAGATATTATTCAATGTTTTTTGGTTGTTTTCTAATGTCATTACTTAATTTATACCTCACACTTTTTGAATGATGCACTTTTTATTACTTTGTAAATAATGATGCATTTACAAAGTTAATTATAAAACAATATTTTTATTGGACATTAAATCAAATTTACAAAACAAAAATATATTTTTATATTTTATATTATTAATTAAATATATAATGAGTAATATAAATCTAGTTATCGTTTTGTAAAAATATTAGTCTATAAGAATATAAATAATATATCGAAGCTATAATTTACAATAAAATGATAGTTGAAATAATATAGGTAAATACAATGAATCTCCAATATAAAATTTTTGTTGTACTTCCTTTCATGATAATTATGATAATATCAACTGGAAATATGTTGTAGATTAGTAGTAAATATTATAGCCATTTTAGTATTAATGTATAAATTTAAAGTAAAATATAAGTTCTAATTTAATAATATTTTTAGAGCTCATTGCATTTATTACTTAATAGACAAAAATATGTATATACTTTATGGAATGTATTGTAACACTATACTGTAGTTACACAATTTTTCATTAATTAAACCATTACCTGATCGATATAACTTTTATAAGTTATAATAAGTACTTGTAATAAGTAGTTGTACTTAATAGTTGTAATAAGTACTTAAATTCTTCATATACCTTAATATGCAATAAGTAGTATACACATAATATAATTATCAGTAAGATGTGTATAATATTTTAAAGGCACATTGTATTAAAAGCTTTTTAATTTTTATAATGTATATATCCAGTGGATAAAAAAACAGAATGCAAAAAAACAAATACTTGTTATATATGAGTTAACATTTTTTAAAATCTGTATATCATAAATAATGTTTAATATTTTATTTTTTTTTCTATGCAAATGCAATACAATTTATACTCATAAATTCAATGTATAGTTAAAATATATTAATAAAAGAAATATAAAACAGCATAAGCACATAGATAAAAAAAATTAGAGCAATTACTTTAATAATTCATTTTAAGTCATTATTAGGAAATAGTATGAATTTAAGTCTTTTACTTCTTTATTTATATTAAACTCTATGATTAAGTATTTCTTTAAGTAATTTTTAAAATTTGATTATACAAAAGTTTTTCTACATTATAAAATCGAAGACAAATTTGTAGTATATTTCATTTTTAATAAAAAGGAAACTATATCAATTTTTTTAAATAAGAAACGCATACTGTAAATCCAGTCTTATTTTGGTGTATATCAGGTAATCTTTATATAACTTATAGAAATATTTAATAATAAGTAAATGCACTTTTTATAAGATACTATTATTATACTTAGTTATAATAGATATTGTGTCATTATATGGATTTAAAAATTGTACAAAATTAAAAATTAATTTGCTGCTAATTTGAATTCAGTGATTCGGGCTTATCACACATACATCTGGCACTGCTATTTTTGAAAACTTTTAAATTTTAATGACTTAATTTTTTCTTTAGAAATACCGTTGAAGCCGAAATTTACAAATTCATTTATATTCCATAGATTACTATTTATAGTTTATAATTTTCTGGACCTTTGTTTTTGCGTACTAGTAGCAACATATCATACATTTGCAGCACATTATTATTGGCAATTAGTGGACACAAAACTTCCCCTGTAAGCGAATATATGAGGGCTAGGTGGATTGTTCAAGAGTATAGAACCATAACTGACTTACAAAACGGTTCAAGTCTACCTAGAACATTCTATATAATAGTTTTAAATTTTATAATTGAAAAAAAAAACTCTGCGAACAAGACGTTTTTTACAAAATATTTTGTTTCTTATATATACGTCCATTTATCATCAATTAGAAATTAGAAATTTATACCAATATATTTCATTGTAACATGTAATAAATTGTTAGACATTTTCGTATATTCTTGAAGCGTTATCAATGTTGACATACTACTTATAAATACGTAGAACCCAAATGACCAACAAAATCAATCTTTGTTCATGGATATGAACAATTGTATGTTATATTTTAGTAATTCTTCAAGTTGTATGCTTATATCAGTGTGTAAATTAAGTAATATTATTGTCAAAAAGTGACTTTTATATTTTTTAATTTCTTAACAATTTTAATATTTTGTAGAATTGTGCGTTTATCAAAAAAAGCATATAGTTAAATAAACTGAAATATAATGTTTACAATTTGTAACATTTTTATATAATAAAAAAGTCTCTCTCTATATATATATATATATATATATATATATATATATATATATATATATATATATATAAACAT